GGATGGGAAAAGAGTAGGAAGGATCCAGAAGATTTTCAAAGGGAAAGTGTTATGAATGAAAGTAACAGTTTTAGGAATTGTAGTCCCTGCTTTAGTGTGTTTATAATTCATCTTTTCTTTCTTTCTCCCCTCCTTCTCTTCCCCCTTCCTTTCTTGTTCTGAAATCTAGGCTAATCTGGAACTTGAGATCTCCCTGCTGGGATTATAGGTGTGTACCACCACACCTTGCTTTATTTTATGTTTCTACCAGAAAAGAATATTATCCTCTAGAGAAATTAGTTGATGCATTTTCTTTCTTAGTGAATGGAGAAAATGCATAAAATTTTAAGCAAGCATTAACTTCACAGAATCTTAAAAATCTCATTTTCTTAGTCCACTGTTTATTATCTCAAGTTATTTCTTCTTAAACTTCTATAAATAGACATAGTTTTCACTTAGCATGAGGTCCTCCGAGATAATCCACATTGCTGCAAATGGCAGGGCACAGGAAAAGAAATATTGTGTGATATCACTTACATGTGGAATATAAAGTAGTCGAACTTAGAGAAGCAGACTGTAGAATAGTGGTTGCCAAGAGTTGGGTATTGGAGATGTCCATAAAGAGTACAAACTTTCAATTATAAGATGAAAAAGTTCAAGAGGCCTATGTATAGCAGAGCAATTATAGTAAATAATTATGTATTGAATACTTAAAATTCACTGAGGAAGTAGATCTTAAGTGTTCTCACCACATGCACAAAGTTAACTATGGGAGGTGATGAATATGCTAATTGGCTTGGCTACAAGAACCATTACAAAAAGGAATACTTAGATAAAGACCTCATGTTGTAAGAGTAAAATAGATGCAATGTTTATTTGTCAATCATGCCTCAAAGCTGAAAAAGTAATTTAACAACCCTAAAATAAGGCAAGGGGAGAAATTCAACAGTATCAAGGCCCTGGGTTTAATCCCCAGCACTACAAATAAAAATATATTAGACATAGGTTTAAATTGGTTGTAGTATAAATGCAAACTGTACATTTATTAGCTCTTTGCATGAGACAAGTAAGTTTTCATTTGAGATTTGGGAAATGCTGCTTTATGTTATATGACTTAGAGGCTATTATTTTTACTATTCATTCTGACCTGGGTGTTCATATAAAGTACCTGATAAGAATTTTTGAATGATTATTTTAACTTTTAAAGATATATTTTTTGACTCACTTTTTGTTTGAGTTAGGTAACTGGGAAAAAGGCATATGATACAAGCCAGCAACTTTATGAAGCAGTGAAGTCGTTGTGGACAAAAAGCAACAAAAAAGACCCATACTCTGAACCTGAAGAAAAAACTAAGGTAGAGTTTAAAAGGAACAAAAAGGTAGAGACTGAGTTTTTTTGAGTGGGTATTGGCTTGTAATGGGAGTACTAGACCAAAGTAAAGGATAAATTGGAAAATAAAGGAATCATAGTATCATGTCATGCTATAATTTTTAGGATACTTTATTCTCTTAATAAAATGGTTTACTAATAAAGGAAAAATCTTTTTTTATAAACAGGTAGGAAGCTCCAATGAAATAGAAATACCTACAAAAACAACTCACATCTTGAAACATTCAGTGCCTTTGCTGAAAGAACTCAGCTCTGAAACAGAGACCAAATCAGAATCCACCTCAGGTTTGTTTGGAATGATTTGATTTGTTTTCATTCTTTTATTAAATAACTTTATAGCATTATAATTGGCAGTTTGAACTGACTTATATGTTTTCTTCATAAATGTATTTTCTCTTTCTCATATAGGTAGTTCATATTTATGTTTAGGTTATGAGAGACTTTCAGATACTTGGGATTTTTTAAAATAGTTCATAATACAGATCTTTATGTGTGAAGGTGTAGAGTAGCACTGACAGGTTGATTGAGTGAAGCATTTAATAGCACTTTATAGATGCGAGTTATTTTATCAGGAGGAGGAAAATGTCCTTTCTGGATTCTATCAGTTTACAGGTAGGAGACAATGCCTACATAGAGAAATATCAGCTTCCATTTCTCATACTATTTACCTGTCAGGTGTCAGGCTCTTTGTCATTCTTAGTTTCCACCATCTGTAGTTTTATTAAGATTAGGTGCCAACATGATAAAAGCGAGAGCACACAAGGGAAGGGTGAGGATAGGTAAGACACCTAAAAAACTAGCTAGCATTTGTTGCCCTTAACGCAGAGAAACTAAAGCAGATACCTTAAAAGCAACTGAGGCCAATAGGAAAAGGGGAACAGGTACTAAAGAAAAGGTTAGATCAAAAAGAATTAACCTAGAAGATCACACACACGCACAGGAAATCAATGTGAGTCAATGCCCTGTATAGCTATCCTTATCACAACCAGCAAAAACCCTTGTTCCTTCCTAGTATGGCTTATACTCTCTCTACAACAAAATTAGAAATAAAGGCAAAATAGTTTTTGCTGGGTATTGAGGGGGTGGGGAGGAGAGGGAGGGGGCGTAGTGGGTGGTAAGGGAGGGGGTGGGGGCGGGGGGGAGAAATGACCCAAGCCTTGTATGCACATATGAATAATAAAATTAAAAAAAAAGATTAGGTGCCAAGAGAAATTTCTACATCAAATAGAAGTAGCAATAATAATACTTCTAACTTTGCTAGTATTCAATATTGGCAATTAATTCTTCATGGGACCAAATAGTGACAAATTATCCTTTCTAAAAAAATAGTACTATGATTTTGCTGTGATCAAAAAGAATGTATCAGGGTGTTTAATACTATTTTGACAGTGGATTCACATAAACCCACCAGTCACTGGTTTGTATTTGTCTACCTGTACAATGTGAATGATTCAACCCAATAAGTTGTCATATTATAAAGGAAATGTGACCAATTCAGAGGTAGAGAATTAGGAATAGTAACCTTTATCAAGCATGCACTGTTAGGCAAAATGTTGTATGTGTTATGTTATTCAGTCTTTACCCACAAAAGAAATCAAAATAATCAAAATAAACAGTTCTGATGTACCAGTAATTATTCCCATTTTTGATGAAAAGTTTGAGAATAAGGGAGCTTAAATAGCTTGCTTTAAACCAGACAGGTTGTGAGTAGCAGATGACATTCCTGACACCCAAGTCCAATTTTTCATTGTATATAGTTTTTCTAATTTAAAACCAGAATTAGTCTTTAATTTCAACATCCTCCCTCTCTCACTTAATCTTTTAAAAACCTGTCAGCTGGATGGTACACACCTATGATTTCAGCAGTTGTGAGGCTGAGGCAGGAGGATGGTAAGTTCGAGACCAGCCTGGGCTACCTAGCAAGACCCTATCTCAAAGAAAACAAACAAACAAAACCCCAAGCAGTAGTAACAATAATAAAAATAAATATTTTTTAAAAACTATCAATAAATAATAAGTATGATTTGAATACTTTTCTCTGTCATCCTTCTTTTCTAATCTAGATAAGTTATACGGGTTTTACTTTTTCTAAATAACCTACAGTTGACCAAATTCCCAAAGGATATAATGTATCCAGTCAGTTATCTAAATTCCTGTCCTTCCAGAGAATCTTGGTAAGGATGAAACAGCTGAAAGATAGAACCAAAATTATTCCTAGGTAATGTCTTTCCTTTACACATCTGTATTCTGAAACTCTTCACACACTTGTCTTAGGTGGTACATGAAAAGTAATTTAAGGAGATGTGCAGTGGAAGAGAGATGACAGTGGTATTTATCATTATCATATATGTCTTAGTTCAATCTGCTATAAAAAGTAATACCATAGACTGCTTATAAAGGAAGTTTATTTCTTACATTCTAGAGGCTGAAAGTTCAAGACCAGGGTTCCAGCATGGTCAGGTTCTTATGAAGTCTCTCTTCTGGCTTGTATATAGGTGATTCAGTTGACTTCTTGTTATATCCTCACATGGCAGAGAACAGAAGGAAGCAGGGTCTCAGGATTCTTACAAGGGCACTAATTCCATTCATGAGGGCTCCATTCTCATCACCTCATCTAATCCCAATTACCCTCCAGAGGCCTTACCTCCTTATACTATCACATTAGTCGTTAGGGTTTTAACATATGAAACTCAGGGAGACACATTCAGTCCATAACAATATATCACTGAGAGTTAAGTATGTCACTCTTGAGATCCATTGTTTCTACATTTCACATGTAATCTCAAAGGTCTGTGACCTAGGAAACAGTAGTGATTATGACCACAGGTTTAGAATAAGACTTGGATCTGAATGCCAGACACAGCATTTAATAGTTCTCTTACCTAAGGCAAGTTATCTAATACCTCTAGCCTCAGTCTCCTCATTTATGAAAGGGAGTCAATAATAGTTCTCACATGATTGTTGTGATGATTAAATGAGATATTACATGTAGAGCCATAAGAATAATGTCAAGCACATACTAAGCTGTAGATGAGTATTAAAAAAATTAATTATCATTTACCTAAAATAATTATCCATTTTGCTTAGCAACAAATTTTCATTGAATATACTTTAGGATCACTGACTAGGTATCCTAACCAATGGCCACCACTCATTACCATGCAGTCTGTATTGGGAGTATTGTCCAACTAATGTTGTCACTCTGAATATGAGTTCAGTTGCTCTCTACCATCCCATGTACATTTAAGGTCAAAATTATATTATTTTGGGAATGACTAATTTGGAAATTTTATGTCAAGGACCTCTTCAAGAATCTAATGAAGCATAATGAAATTTCTCACAGTCTTATAGGATTGCTGTCTCCCTAGAACAGTGGCTGGCAATCTATTGCCCATTGCCAGATCTGGCTCACTGTCTATTCTTTTTTATCATTCCTACAAGCTTAAGAGTGGTTTGTACATGTTTTAAATGATTGGAAAAAAATGAAAAGAATACTATTTAATGACGGGAAAATTACATGAAATTCAAGTATAGTGGAAATTGTTCCGTAAATAAAGTTTTTGCAGAATGGCAGCCACATTCATTTGTTTAATGAATGGTTGACGATGGCGTGCTTTGTCACAAGTACAGTGATGGAGTTGAGATGTTTCAGTGGAGACCATATTGTTCACAAAGTTGAAAATAATATATTCCTGGCCTTTTGCAGAGAAAGTTTTCCAGTTCCCATTCTGCAGGGAGAGCCACATACACACAACTTTCTCGCCCTAATATTTGGCAGAAATTTGTTTGTGGATCTGGAGACTAAATAGCCAAAAACCTCTGCAGGGCAAAATTAAATTCCCTGTAGCCTTTTAGTGCTGAGAAGATAGGAATTTATGAAGCTGTCAGTCAGAAGCTGAAAAATAGGAGGGAACGAGAGGATTTGTGACTGATTCATAAAACTATAATCCAGCTAAACTCAAGTTAATACCTAACTGGATAAAGATGGTAAGTGCTTCATCCTTCTTAGAAGAGGGAAA